TTTGAACTTCAGTTGTTTAGGTAAATTTATTTTTGTTTATAGCTGTTGGATGATGAAGAGCAGAAAATCTTTCTTCTTTGAGTTGTGTAAATACATCAAAACCCACCCTGGCCTACTAGATAGATACAGCAGGTGGAAGAGGCTTCAGATTCTTCTCTGTGTCTAATCGGTAAATGTGTGTTGTGAGGATGTGAGGTGGGATAAGGCTGGGATGCATATTAGTGCAGTGCCTGGCTTAACACAGTGCTTCAGTTTCACTCTTTATCCCTAAACGGGGAGAAGCCCTTGCAGTGGGGATTGAACCGTAGGCTGTGGATAGCCATGCATGACCAAACACCATGCGTGGATCTGCATCAGCTGGCTGCACTAAGCCTGCTCGGATTTGGAGACAGTGGTCCCCTGACCGCTGCTGAACATACCCATGTCTCTGACACCCCTGCAGGCTGTAGGAACTGAAAATCCACGAGTGGAAGTGGTAGGGAGAGATGATGATGCCATGCTCTGCAATGTGCTCCTTGCTCTGATTGTCACCTGGCCCTACAAAGCTGGAACCGTGGTTCCACGGACTCACCAGCCTCTGCAACTCAGAAGGGACTGAAATGTTGTGGGGATGAAGAAACAAGAAGTTATTTCTGTTTTGCTTTTCTAAAACAAAGGTGTTGAAACATTCTCTAAGACATAAAAGATTTTTGACTTCAGATGAAGGCTGTTTGTGTTTCCTGAGGACGTGTTATCTGGTAATCTTCAGGGAGAGGTTGCAGGCAGAGGTTGGCACACCTTGTGGCTGACCAAGACAGGCTTGCTCTTTTGAAGTCTCCCACTTCACTTTTGGCTTCATGGGCCAAAACAGCTTAGGCAAAACCATTGTCCTAGAACCTGCTCTTGTCAAGCCTAGAGGTGAAAATTCTTCTTCAAGCAAAGGAGTTGAGAGAAAAGTGCCAGGGATTTCTTCACCAACTGAAAACCTCATTCATACTTGTGTTCTGTGCAGTGACTACAAAGACTCACCAGTAAAAAAATGGTGTGGGACAGGCAGGGTAGGAATTTCATCCATTTGAAGGAGAACTTGATCACTCTAAAGCCATTAGCATCTCCCAGATAGTTTTTAAACCTCTGCCTCATGTTTTTGCTGCTTATTTGTTCCTCAAAGAGATTGAGCACGCCACGGTCAAAGCCATTCAGAGATGAGGAACCCTCTGTGCCCATCCGAGGTAATGGGTGAAAAATCACTGCAAAAAGAAGAAAAATACTTCAGATGGTAGAGAGGGCAATGGTAAACACTGTGAAGTAAACCTGAATTGGATCAGGAAGAACTAATAGGTGAACAGAACAAATGCAGGGAGAGGACATCATGTGGGGAATAAATTAAATCAAGCCTGGAAACTGTGTTCTGTAAAGCATGTCTTCGCTGCAGATAAGCTCCTTGCCTTGTGGCATGTGGTGATCAGAAGCAGGTGGGGGTGTATCTCCCTTCTCTATCAGCTGTGCTTTCACATTTAGAGCCCACAGCAAGGTAAAGCAGAAGGCCAGGTCCTGCTGACCACGCTTACAGGAGAGTTTCTCTCACTGGGGCTCTGGGTGAAGGGGGAAGGACTGCTGGATCTCACCGGTGCTCACTGCACAGGGTAGGCAGCCTGTGGCTTCTGCGTGTCCTTTTCTGGGTGTCTCCATGTCAGCTTGCTTGTGGGAGCTTGCAGAGGGGGAAGGAGGGGTGAAAGCACCCATCCCTGCTGTGCGCTTTCGTTACGGAGGGATCTCAACAGCCTTTTGGTTGAATTAGGATTAAATATGTGGTCACCCAGCTTCGAGTCATCCATCCTGGCCACTTGTTCCTGCCCTACGAAATCCACGTGAGGGGCTAAGTGCTGAAATGGAGCAGAGCAGTGACCCCGGTTAAATAAAACCCTGCAAAACTCCTTCATTTTGAGATCCGTGCCTGACCTGCGAGTGGTGGGAGCAGCACATGGCAGGCACAAGCAGCTGGGGCTTGGCTGGGGTGCGAGATGTACAAACTGCCTCCGGGAAAAAAAAAGAAAAAAAAAAACAAAAAACATGAAACTTGGTTTTCTGTCCTGCTGCAAGCTAGAGCATGTCTCTGTGCCATAGCTGGCCCAGTTTCTGATGAGAGTGGTGGTTTAAACAAATGTTCTGGTGGTGAAGGGTTGCTGAGGCATGGGTGGGCATCCTGTTCCCTGCCCTTGCTGCAGGGTTTTGTCTGTGCCAAAGGGTGGGACAGGCAGCTGCGGCCCCAGCGCCCTAAAGCAGTGTCCTGATGCAAGGCAGAGCCCCGTGCCTAGAAGCACAAAAAAAAAAAAAACAGAGAAGAAAAAAAGGGAGAAAAATAAAAAGAAAAAAGAAGAAAATAATATCCTTTAAAAAAAAAAAGAAGTGACGTGTGATGTATTGCTGAGACCCGCATTCCCAGCAGGAGCGCAGAGAGCGGGCAGAGGTTGAGACACATCTTCCCTGGGGAGCGGGAGGGCTGCGGGAGGCTGAGTCAGCAGGAAAGGTCACTTGGCCTGAAAGGCTGAGTTGCGAAGGAGGCGATTTCGTAACGGTAACTGATGCAATGCCTTTCTGTTCGGGACTGCCTGTCTGCGGCTGTGGGCATGCACGAGGGAGGAACAGCAGTTTTTGTGGCTGGGGGTGATAGGGCAGCAATGGTCAGCTTCGGCTGCCTGCTCTCCCTCCAAATTACCCCTCCTTTACTTTCCCCCCTCCCGTCCCATGCCCCCACTTCCACTGTACCCTTTTTATGTTGCTTTAGCTCTGGCATTTCATCTCATCGTTGCACCGTTTGCTTTATGTCCCTGGCTTCTCTTTCAGTTCCAGTTTGGGGTCGTTATCACATATGATTAGTCTTGGAGCCTAATGAAGGGGATCAGACATAACTCTAGGGTATGTCTGAGCCATTTAGTGTTTCTGAGCTCAGAGATCTGCAGAGGAAGTTTATTTTTAAGCTTCCTGAGAAGATAAATTTGAATGTTGGATTGTTTAGGGTACAAGTAATATAAATGAAATTGCTCCAGGGAAGCAATGCCCTCTGGGATTTGAAGAATCCCAGGGATAATTATCTAGTGCTGAGCAAGTCTCGTTAGTCTTGAAATAGCTTTTAGTAGATGATCACATTTTTCTTCATGTTGGCTTGTCTGAAAGCTTGAAGCCGTGCATTAACATTTAGCCTTGATTATAAGTACCATCAGCATGTTCTTAAGACTGTCTTTATCATCCAGGGAAAGCCAGGCATGGGAAGTACAAAGCTATCACACAGCATAACAGTCCCAGAAAACAAACCAGAGCATTTTTAAAGCCTGCTCTTTTAGGGTCCTGCTCCTGCGAGGTTGAAGCGTCCTCAGAGCTGCTCCAGCTGCTGCTGTGTGGGGGCACCATGCAGGTGACTGCATCTCCAGCTCAGCGATGAGGCATCCCTGTAGTGACTCAGCTGCATCCCTTCTGACCGCCTGCCAACGTGATGCAGGTCATTAGTCACTGATTGGTGAGGTTAGCCTTTTTTTAGGCTCCTGGAGAGGTCAAGGGTCACATAGACACCAAGCAGTTGCATCAGTGTTACCCCTCTTTTGCCTTCAGGTCCATCAGGTGCTTGGTGGTGCTTGGAGAGCTGTTTTGGTGTGCTCTGTTGGGTTGACCCAACTCTGTGACCAATCTGGGGCTTGACTGGGGATAGCAATTCCCTAATACTATTTTTCCCCGTATTTTTGCCTTTTCCTCACCACCCTCCATCTTCTGTGCTTCCCAGCTTTGGCTCTGTCTCCTCATCCATAATCTGTATGTGCTGGTAGGTTAGGTACCGTGCTCAGATATCCCAACTGATGGCTCATGGATCTGTCTCTCTACTGCCCTATGCCATTACTCCAGACCAGTCCTGAGGACAGGTCTTTAACACCAGTATTTTCTTGGACACAACCACTCTGGGACACTGCCCTTCTGCTCCCTTGTCATAGAATCAGAATCATGGAATCACCTCAGTTGCAAACGACCTTCAAGATCATCAAGTCCAACTGTCCACCTGACCTACCGAGTCCCATCACAAAACCACGTCCCTTAGTACTGTGGGTTTTCTGTCTGTCCCAAATCTCTGACCGAATCTCTTCTGCCTGTCTCGATGGCTACAACTCCCTCCTCTGGCCACAGTGCCTGCAGCACCCTTGGGTGCTGTGGAGATGGAGGTGCATCCCTCGCTCCTTGCCCAGCTGCAGCAAGCTGCATGGGTCTGCTTGGCCTTCTCTGTGCTTTATGGGGCTGAAGGAAGCCTGACAGGTCTTCCCCCATGTAGGCAATGCTGCCTGTGTCCTGACACGTTGCCAAAAAGCCAGTCTGTGCATCCTGGCAAGGGGGTTGCACAGGATGTGTGTGTGCTGGGTTCCCCTGAACCTCCTGTTTTCTCTTCCCATTTGATATTTCTATACCAAGCTATCCTCACAAAATTAAAAAAAAAAATCATAATTGCAACATTATTAGCAGTATGTATTATTTCTTCTTTTTTTTAAAGCCCTCTGTTAACATACTTCAGCCAAACTGTTACCCCCACTCCCTACTAATATTGTAGCAAATGAACTTTTCTTTACAGCAAACACCACTGCTTTTGCCCTGTTTGTTCTACACCCGTGTCCTCCCCCATCCCTGCTCTGCTGAAATGCAGCATCGATGACTTGTGGGATGGCACAAAAGCCAAAAACTGGTCGCGGCTGTGCAGTGGCTGACGTTGCTGGCCCAGGTGGACTCTGCCTGCGTGTTGCCACTGGGGCGGGGTGGGAGGGGCTCTTGTCCCTTATCTGGGGAGCCACACGCGTGCTGGGAAGACCTTTGTGCTGATAGTTGGAGGAATAAAGTTCAGTGGGAATGAAAGGACATTTCTCTAGCGGGAGGGAGTCAAAAATCAGAGCCGTCCTGTGGCAGAGCTGGACGTTCAGCGTGGGAGACTCAGCTTTGGCCACTGCTGCCCTTGGTTCGCGCTGTCTCACCTCCTCTCTCTCTTGCAGCTGCGTAAATGAGTATGGAAGATTATGATTTCCTCTTCAAAATTGTTTTAATTGGCAACGCTGGTGTGGGGAAGACCTGCTTGGTCCGACGCTTCACGCAGGTAAGGTCGGGCACCTGCCAGACGTGGGGCATTGCGTGGGAGCACGGTGGTCTCCACCAGCACCCGCGCTCCACAGGCTTTTATTATCCATGCTTGCAGCATCCGTGTCATCTGTACTGAAGTACCAGCATGAGCACTGCATCAGTAACTAGTGCTGTGCGTGGCTTTCCTGGGGTTCTGGTTTATTAGGACCTCCTGTTGCATTTCCTATGGACCTCTCATCCCATCCCTCCAGGGTGGACCAGCCTGCTGCTGTACTGAGCTCTCTCTTGTGTTGTCCATTAGTAGATGATTAAATAATCCGGGTCCTGGGCTGTCAGCCCAGGGTCTTCTGTTAAACATCAGGCCAGGGATTGCACCTGAAACGTTACCAGGGGCGTTTAATGATGGTTTGAAGCAGTGGAGTGTGATTCTGGCAGCAAAATGAGATGTTGCATTGCCTGGGAAAATTCTGTGCTCCCTGTGTTTGTGGCTTTACGTACAGTGGATCCTGAAAAGCTTGCAGTAACAGTGGGGGCCAGCTGAGCCCATATCTGCCTGATTGGGGAAAATGAATCAAATCCAAAGGTTTGAGGACTGTTTTCCCTTCTTCCGTGTAACAGAACAGCAGGAAGAGGACTAGGCACCTGTGATTTGGGCTCAGAGAAGAGTTTGCATGGTGTACTATAAAATGCAAGTTACGTTTCTTTTGTTGCTGTTGTTGCAATCCCTACTGGGAATCATCAGTTTAAGTTTTAAAACTGTAGTGATGTTAAACATGCTCTCTGCCTGTACCAGCTGCTGGCAATGAAGCTGGTTAGTCCCAAAGGGTTAACCACGAAGTCTGCAGCCACCACTGCTGCCTGTGCTTTGGCAAAGCTGCTGCTGCTACAGGGGATGGATGTGCCCGAAAAAAAACACGGCTTTGCAGGCTGGGACACCAGAAATCAGAAAGCTCTGCTTGTTTTCGTTCAGTTGGCTGTTGCTCCTTTCTCAAAATCGAGCACTGCCTGCCAGGGCAGGATCTGGCCACTCAGGAGCTGCTGGAGGTGCCCTGGGGATCCCTTTCCTCACTGTGGCAGAGGGCAGAGGGAGGGCTCTCATCTCTTTCAAGGCGATGGAGAATTGGGTCAGAGGGACCCAACCTGCCTTTCCCCTGCCTCTTCTGAGTGCACAGAAGCAGAAGGGTTTTTCCTCTCTCCGTTTTCACTTCATACGTTTTCCTTTTCTCATAACAAGGAGATGGTAGTGGATTTTGTGGCTTCTTCTGATGGATGCTGTGGAGACGGATCAGTGTGCAGAGCCTGCCCTGGACTCTGTCCCCCCTGCTTTGTGTGGTGAAGGAAGTGGGCATGTCTTTCAGTGCAATTCCTTTAGAGGTGTTCTCCTGTCTAGAGAGCAAGGGAGGAGTAGGGATGGGAAAAAGTAAGGATGGGCACCCAGAGGGAAGTTTTCCTTGCTACACAACTTGTTTAACAAAACTGTGTTTTCTTTCAGGGGCTTTTCCCACCAGGCCAAGGTGCCACGATTGGAGTTGACTTTATGATTAAAACCGTGGAGATAAATGGTGAAAAAGTAAAGGTAGGAACCTGATGGTTTTCAGTATAAACTCATACGGTGGCACTGTAGTTTGGGTTTCTTGCTGCAGCATGCCTGCTGCTGGAAATGTCCAGAGCTGCCTGTCATGTCTTCGAAAATGCACCATCAGGAGCATGGAAAGGGGAGATGCCCCATCCCTGGAAGTGTTCAAGGCCAGCTTGGATGGGGCTTGGAGCAACCTGGTGTGGTGGGAGGTGTCCTTGTCCATGGCAGGGGCTTGTAATTAGGTGATCTTTAAAGTGCCTTCCAACCCAAACCATTCTGTGGTTCTGTGAGATCTTGCAAAGCTCTGTTCTTGCTCAGAAGGCACAGAGATGGCGCCTGGCAGGGGTTGAGAAAGCACAAAGAAACATTTCAATGCAGCTTCCATTTACTCCATTTACCATGCACTGCTGGTAAGATGGAATCTGTTGAGTTCCCACTGGGATGTGCCTGATAAAGGTTTTCTCCTGCTCCTGAGATGGCCAGTTCCTGGGATGGTGTGGTTCTGCAGAATGAAGGCTTGTTTCCCACTTCTGTTGAGTTATAGACCTGAAAGAATATATGTTATGCTTGCTGGTGCTTTGGTCAACGGGCTTTACTCAACCTGTGTTGGGCAGTGTCTCACTATTGACTCTTTCAGCTTCCAAGATAGGGTGGTTGCAACCAAATCATCACTGGGAAACTCCTTGTCCCCTAGCTTGGGGATTGCTTGGCAGGGAGCTAGTTTGTCTGGGCCATAACACACGGCCCAGGATCCATGGTTCAGTTCTAGTGCTCAGAGATGTTGGCTGGCACCACTTAAGTCATTAGCAGAGCTTTCAGCAGAGCTATTGTGGCATTTGAGAGTTGGGAGAAGAGAAGGAGCCTCTGATGTCAAGGTGTACAGGGTCCCTGACACCTGGAATTGTTTTTCCTGCATTAAACCCATGGGCATTGAAGTGAAAAACAACATTTTTTTGATGCCTTCATCTTCTCTAGTGATGAGCAGGTGGGAGAGTGGCAGCAGTGTGACAGTGGCTGGGTGAACAGAGACTCATTTTTAAGGGTGTGCAAGTGATGGGATGGAAGCAGTGGACTTGCGCAGATTTTTAGCCCTGTATTTTTTTTCCACCTGTGTTTCAGTGCAGAGGCTTTTTGAGTAGAAAATCAGATGGAAATCAGACTTTAAAAGCATATCAAGAGGCTGCCACCCTGCTGCACAAGTTGCTGTGTGAAGAGCTGTACGTTTGCTATGGCAAGTGATGGTCCTTGACCAAAAGGCCTTGCAGCCTGAGCAGGTGGAGGACAGCCCTAAAAGCCCACTTCCAATGCCCACCACTGGAGTAAGTTGGAGAGCCACAATGAGAGCAGTGTGGGAAGAAGCTTAGTAGGACACATTTTAGTATTTGAACAAGTCTTACAGAGTCTGAAAGGCAAAATGATTCCTTTCTGTCTCTTGCACTGGTGCAGGCAAAGACTGAGCTTGTAGCTGAAACTTTCTGAGCAAGCAGCGCCAGTGAGAGTAAACATTTAATAAGTGGGAAAAGCAGGGATGACTCAGAGCTGAGAGGGGAAAAAATGACATCTCAGTCAAACAAGGCACCAGCTCATGGAACAGTGCCAAGCAGTGCCGGGCAGCATCTCCTGTATGGCATTGGGATCCAGGGTCAGAGCAGAGCCATTCACCAAGGAGGTTTTAAGATTTAAAAAATACATGTGTGTGTGTGTGTGTGTGTGAATGAATTTCTGGGAAAAATACTTTCTAGCTTTAAAATTGCATTTGAAAGTCAGAGGAGAGAGCCTTGCTAGCATGAGAGTTCTGTGCAAGCCATTTCAGATATGAGTGGCTACTAAGACTCGCTGGCAGATAAACTGAGACAGCCCTTTGCATTTTATTTTATTTATATATATGTGTGTGATCATTTCTAACAAAACCAAAAATATGTGCAATGTATGTACTGAGAGGCTACACACATTCGATAGTAATTATAGTGCCAGTCAAAGATAAGCATCCTCACTGCTACAAACACAAGGCTCTGCTGCATGTACCTGTACTCTTACTACACTTGGTGGAAATGTCCATGTGCAGAAAGCTAAACATACCTGAAAATGCTGGGGGAGAGGAAAGTATCATCTGGCTCCTAGAAAATTAACATCCAGGTAACTGTTTTCTGCAGGTAGAGTCACAGGCCTGGCCAGCAACAAACCCTCTCCCCTGTTTGATTTCAAAGTCCCTTACATTAAAGCGGTGGAAAAGCATGGTCACATCAAGTTTTAATCTGCCAGAGATCTTTTCAATAAATGAAATGCAAACTAGAGTTAGCCACTAGACAAAGCTGTATATATTTTTCCTGGGAAATAGCTGCACAACAACAGCAGCAAAATTATCTGTAATTTTTCTATCCACTGAAGTTTGTAGGCTGGTTTGTTTTGAACAGAACTCGTTTGTTATCTAAATTTTGTATGCAAGTAATGTCACACATGGTTTCGTGTGGCCCTTAACTGCAGGTGCCATATTCAGCTATTTAAACACAGCTATGCTGAGAAATTAAGCTCAAAGGTGCCAGGAGCTGTGAGCCAGCAGCAAATTCCTTCCTCTGCAAAAATGTACTTTTTCAGAATCATACCCCACATCTGAAAGCTGCTAATGGGGGCTCTTGTTTCAATCTCACATATTTATGATGAGTAGCTGACATAGTTTGACATTGGAACTGGGCAAGAACAAGGCTTGCTCTGTTATGGGTAGCTGTAAATACGGAAAAAATTTCAAATACTTTTAACTTGTTCTTCCCAAAGTACACAGGATTCTGGCTAGAAATCAGCCTTTCGCATACTAAGTTCCAGGGAGGGGTGCTTAAAAAATAAAAGCTGAAGCAGAGAAATGCTCTTCTATGCTGAAATATTTTCTTTTTGGATGCTTTTCTTTGCCTGCTTTTTGAAAAGTTGTGGTTTTGATGAGCCACCAAAAGCTGTCAGATGGTTGTTACAAAAACGGTACGTGTTTGTTTCATATTGGGAAATGAATGTTGTTTTTTCTGGACCCAGGGAGTTTGCCAAACAGCGGTTAAGCTCATGACCTCTTAGCTATAGTTAGGGACCTGCCAGCCACTTCTACACATCAGGAAGGAAGGCGGCAAGCAGCTGGGCGGGATGTCTGAAGTTTTGCAGAGGAAACGTGTCGGAGTCCTTGGATGAGCCTCCAGCTGCAAACCTGAGCTTTGTCCACTCCTGTGGTTTCCACCCTTCAGTGCTTCATCTCGGGATAACTAACTAACCTTGGGAGCTACAGGAGGGGCTTCCTTATTCCTTCTGGGACAGACCTTGCTGTGGGTTGGACTGCAGGGCAAGGAGGAGAGAGGAGACCTCCTGCCTCTGGTGCCTGTGCTGTAATTCCAGGCCAGCAGCTCCGGCCAAGGGAGATGCTGCAAGTCCCGTGAACACTGATGGACCTGCAGCTTGCTGGGGAAGTCGGCAGCAATGCCAGCTGACTTTGTGCCTTGCATTTCAATTTGAAAAGGCAGAAATGGAAACAAACAAGCAAAAAATGTTGGGGGATGGAAAGCCAAAGGGGAGAAGAGCTAAGTGTTTTCCCAGCAGTGGTTGTACCCTGGAGGCATTTAGGTCAAAACAGTGCTTCTACCAAAGCAAAAAAAAACTTAAAATGATTTTTTTTCTCCTCTCCCTGCTCCCCCTCGTTGTGCCAAAAGCTGCAGATCTGGGACACAGCAGGACAGGAGCGGTTCCGGTCCATAACGCAGAGTTACTACCGCAGCGCCAACGCCTTGATACTCACCTACGACATCACCTGCGAGGAGTCCTTCCGATGCCTCCCCGAGTGGCTGCGAGAAATCGAGCAGTACGCCAGCAATAAGGTCATCACTGTGCTAGTGGGTAAGTCAGGGGCCTCCCTGGCGGGGTGGTGCAGCGATGGTGGGCACTTGGTGACAGATGGAGGTGTTGGGGGGAGGAAGAAGCGGTATCTGTGTGACGTGGAGGTGCAGGAGGCTCAAACTGGTGCAAATAAAGCAGAGCTGTAACCGTGTGTGGGTGCAGCTGGTGCCTTAAACACACCCGCTTGGACCATTCCTCCTGCAGACAACCCCACCGTGCTGATTGAGATGTTCAGGGCACCCTAGCTGCTTCTCAAATCTGGTCCCATCTCAAGCCTTAAGGCTGTTGAGTGCAGAGGTGGATACTTCCCTTGGGCTGGTCCCATAGGGGACTGAAGCACTGATCATGGCAGAGCTAAGAATGCAGACTTATCCCTTGTGACTCCCAGCTCAGATCTTCACAAATATATGAGGATCTGCTCAAGCTGGTGATGGCTGTGGGTTGATGCACCCCATAGCTGTGGACACCTGGAGTCTCGGCTTAAGTGGGACAAGATGTGGGAAGCAGACCAGGATGCAATGGCTCTGTGGATCTTAGCATTCATGGGTAAGACAGAGCTGGAAAACTGGTTATTTTTGCCTGGATTTTAGGATACCTAAAAATAAATACTGAATGCCATGTTAATCTAGCAGCTTCAACTCAAGCTAAAACAGACCCCAGGCCATCTGTCTGCTATATGCGAGGTGAAGGTTATTTTGCTTACCCGTGCTTCTGTGTGCTCTGCTCTCAGTATCTGATAGTCAGGACTTGGCTTTTAAAGGCCCAAGAATATACAAGGAACAACAGAAAAATAAGTTGGGGAAAGCTGGAAAGTTTCCTATTGCAGTGTCATTATTTCCTTTAACAGTTTGCTGTTTAAAAGAAAAATCTAGAGGATTACAAAACATGTTTAAGGTGTCTTTAAAGGTCTTTTGAGCTTTACATGCCCCAGTGGTATTGCAGGTGAGTCTTGGGTTTTAAGGAGCTGCCATACAAGAAACTCACTACACTCCAGAAGAAGAGTATGGCACATGTACAAATGGCTCAGAAATACATAATAAATGACTAACAAATGTACATAAGATTTTTTAGGGAACATTAAGTTAATTATTAGCATCTACAGCATAAAATATAAATAACTTCCACAGCACACACTTTAATCATGGTAACACCTATAAAGTGCTTACTTACGTTGAGTGAGAATTTTTTTAGAAAGAGTAACTGCAGTGTATACAGTGGGTCCAAGAAATTGCTTCATCAGGAAAGAAGGGGAATATTGGATGAAAGAAGGGCTATGGGAAATGGCTTGCTAGTGCAGTCTTCTCCTGATGGTTCTCACACCAGCTCCAGACACAAGGCCAGGAGGGATTTCCTCCTGAACCTGATGAGTCCCTGGACACAGCCCCTTGTTATCACAGGCCCTGCTCTGTTACCTTCTTTGTAAGATTAATTTATGGCAAAGACATCACGTTTGAAGTGAAGTGGCCTGTAATAGGCTGTAATCATATCAGATGGTTGCTGGAGGCATTAATCAACTCCCTGCTAAAATGAGCTCTCTGAAGGAGGGGGCTGGTTCCTTGCCCCACCTCGCTCTGTGAGTGCCCCCGAGCCCGTCTGTGCTTCAGCCTCAGCAGCCAAATCAGTCGCAGGGATATTTAATTAAGATAGGAAAGCAGCCTTCTGCACCAGACTGCCTTTAAAGCTTGTAACGACATGAGAAATATCACACTTAGTGTCTCACGTGCTATAATTGACATTTTAAGTGCTCCTCAGAGCCAGAGCAGGAGAATTTTCAATAGGTATTAAAATGGAAATTCTTTAATGTCAGTTGATAGCAGCAAACAGATGCACTGGTACTAAATTAAAGCTGACGGACTTGGATGTTCACAGGGCATGTTCCGTTAAGTGAGCTGATATTAAATGAACGTGGCCTGTGTATCAGAGAATCCATTATTTGGAGGGGAGAGCAAGCACTGAGTTTCACATCGAAAGCCCTACCCATGCATACGTACAGCACCAAACTCTCCTTCGTCCTGTATCAACTTCTGTTTCTTTTGTTTTGGAAGTCAAATTAATTCCCTTTCTACAATTTTCCCTCAATGCAGGTAATAAGATTGATTTAGCCGATAAGAGGGAAGTCTCCCAGCAAAGAGCTGCAGAGTTCTCCGAAGCACAGGACATGTACTATCTGGAAACCTCAGCGAAAGAATCGGATAATGTGGAAAAACTCTTCCTGGACTTAGCCTGCCGGCTGATCAGCGAGGCACGGCAGAACACCCTTGTGAACAATGTCTCATCCCCCTTACCAGGAGAGGGGAAAAGTATCAGCTATTTGACTTGCTGTAATTTTAATTAAAGAGCTGGCATGTGATTCTCCATCCGCCATGGGCCCACAGGATTTTTTGCCGGGATTTATCTCCTCGGAGGGAATTCCTGCCACTTTGACCCATCTGACTTCCCCTGAGTCAGGTTGCAGACCTAGAAGCATGGCAGGCTGACAGCTCCAGCTGCATGGCAACGTAGCAGAATTTAACATGGTTTAAATTTAATTTTTTCTTGCAGTTTCTGGAGTGGGAAAGGAAAAAGGAGAGTTGGACAAGTGGTTCGTGTAATGCAGAATGTGAGCATTTCCTTCTGCAGGTGATGAGATCAACCTCTCTTGGAGAAGACACTGAAGAGTTTAAGATCTCTCTTACAGAACAATGTGTTTGGTCCTTTGTAAAAGAAAAAAAACAACACAACAATGAGTACTGAACCTGGACTACACTGGCAATCATCTAGACTGCCAGCCAAGTGAATTCTTAGGACGTGTACATAGTGTCTGCCCACGTGTCTTCATGGAGGACTGGTGTTTGAAATAGTGTTACGTCTCTCATCTATAGGCACTTTCATAAACATGGAATTAAAAAAAAAAAAAAGAGAAGTTATATGTCAACATTTTCAGACAAGGATTTGAGAAGACAAGGCTACAGCTCCATTGCTTCCTTTGGTGCTAGCAGTTCAGCAAATATTCCATAGACCAAGCGTAGTCTTACTACATTGCTGTCCTCTGAATGTGTAACTTTGATTAGGAAAAGAACGCTAATAAGCACTGTTCATTAAAATCCCATTACCTCTTTTTCTAGGCTTGAACATAGTGAGAAAGGACTGTGCTTCTTTGATATCCAACACAGGATGAAAGGACTTCCCAGAAATAAAATAAATAAATAAGAAAATGAACTGTCCCACTTCTAATTAGTATTGTCCTAAAGTGAAAAATTAACCTTGGGAAAAGTTATTGGTGGAATTGAAAAAATGCACCTGGCACGACCAAAATCTTTTGTGTGCACTGATTGTGCATAAGGGTTCAAAGAGAGCACAGTTTGAAGTGGCAGCCTGCAATATGTCTGGGATAAAAATAAAGCTTGTAGATACAGTTCCTGTTGAAAGGCAGGCATACAATTTTGCAGAAGTTTTTCTTTTTTTTTTTTTTTTTTTTTCCTTACGTGAAGTGGAAATAGCAGCAGGTTGCAGGTGGCATCATTTTGTGTCTGACCCATCCAGCAATCACCTTATGGAACTGTTCTCTGAGGAGCTCTTGAAGGTATCTTCTTGGCCTCTCTCCTCTCTGCTTGAGTAGGTTTCACATTCAGGGCTGTAGAGTCATTTAATTTACTCGATGCTTTGTACTCTTAATCTCAGACTCCACTGTATGTGTAACTCTTAGGCAATTTCTTTCTACAAAACCCCTGAAGTGGAAGCATTATGGAATTTATTACTACACCTCTAGTGCCATATGCGAATAATGCATTGTAAATTTACACACTGACATTAAAGCAAAATTGAGAGATAGTGAATGCACTCATGGAAAATGAGTTTTAGAAGTTTGAGTTCAGTTTAGCTGATCTGGATAAATCTCTCCTGGCAGTTACGTGACTGTGATATGATGTAATTTAAAGTTAATCACCTTAATATCATTTGGTATTTACTGGAGATTATTAACAGAACTTTTGTATTGACATAAAAGTTGCCAGTAAGTTCATCCTGAAAACAATAATAATAATAAAAAAGTAGCATTTTAAAATGCTTTTTCACATTTTCCTGAAAAGACTTCCTTGGGCTGTATCATGGCGTGCCTTTGATCTGCAATGGTGAGCTGACTCCACGTGTCTTTGAGAGAGGAGGGACTGGTGTATCATATGTCAATTTTTAATATTTTCTTGCTATTTTTAGGTCACTTCTTTTGTGACTAGTGCTAAAAATGAAGATGTAGAAATTGTGGTACAAATCTTGCTTGTCATTTAGGTAACACTTTGCAAAGTGCTGCTGTAAGCGTTAGATGTTGGGGAAATGTCATCTGACGCACTGGCCTGTCAGGGTCCTTTTTGGTCTCTGCTCATGATGTAACCTAGAGGATTTAGAAACGTGTGGGATTTGGTGGCTTCTGCTGTTCTGGATTGTGTGGTACAGCCTGTGCTGGAGAGCGTTGTCTTCCTTGAGCATTCCCCAGATTGCCAAATGCAGCCTGATGTGAGCTCGTGAAGACAACCTGACCCTGACACAGCTGGTTCTGCACAGCTTTGAGGTTGTTTAGAGCAAGACTCGGGGCGTTGCACATAGGGTAACACTTGAGTTAAAAATCAATGTTACTCATATTTAATTTGTCAAAGCTCTTACTGGTAGATTGAGATGATCTGGGGTAAAACACTAAATGTTCTGTGCTTCTGCTCACTATTTGTGAGGTACTTGCAGGAGTATTTTGTGTTAGATGTTTGCAACGCAAGTTTGCTGGCACAAGCTGTGATTCCCTTCTGTTCTTATTTGAGTTCCCAATCAGAGAGCAAGTGCTGGGGAAAAAGAAAAAAAAAGAAAAAAAGAAAAAAAAAAGATGTCCAAACTTTCCTCCAAGAGAGTTATGATAGAAAATGTGAAATTATGAACTCTATAGAAGAAGGGGACACTGGGTGCCTCTTCCTACCTCTAATACTGAAATCTCAATTTGATCTACAGGTAAGTTGTTGGAGTATGCAGTTGGATACATATTTGTGCTGAATGCTAAGTGGCTCTGTGATCATTATTTAATGAAAACCACATGTCATGAATTGTCAGACAAGACACTTTGTTCTTTGCTGTAGAACGTGTGAAACAGCCGTTACAATCTGTAAGCCTGCTGGTGCTGTTTGTCTTTTTGGAAATATCTGTATCGGTAACAGCGGGCTCCTGCTAGTCTACGTTTAGCGGTTAATGGCTATTGAATTCCTTCAGCATCAGTAATAATAGCAGCAGGCTGAGGTTGACGCAGCAGACAGTGATTTGAAAAGAGGGAAAGTCGGAATTCGTGATGCAGAAGCATTGTCGGTGCGCACACGTGGGACAACAGGCTTGCCCGAGATTTTGCTTACAAGGGATGCAATTGGTTATGGTCAGACCCTCTGGGTTTTGTATCAGCTGTTTTTCTGCTTGTCTTGCCTTTCCAGCATTGAAGAACTGTCCGTAAATCATGCTGAGATGTTGAGCTTACATAATTCCTGTAGTCAGAGACTGAATTCACTTGGAAAACAGGTGAAATTCTCCAGCAATTAAAATATGCCAAGCAAACATATGGGATGTGCTGCCCTTTGGGGGGCTGTGGTGCCATCGTGGTCGGATGGGACTGGAGACGCAGTCCCAGAAAGCCTCTCCCAGCAGTGTGTACTGTGTACAGCCCTTTGTGCCAGGGGAAAGATGGCTGGGTGGAGCTGAAGATGCAACATAAAGAGATGGTTATATTCCCTCGGGATTTCCTCAATCCCATCCTCTTACAAAATGCATCTATGACTTAGCTTTTGATTGCTCTGGATTTTAATAATTATGAATTTGAGTCTTACCTGAGACTCCTGTATTGTCACCTGCAGTGTCAAAGTAACCCATTCCCTTACACGTGCTGCTCCTACCAACATCTACCAAGCAGAAGACCTTTTTGGGTTTATTCAGTTAGAGAATGTGTTTCTAGAGGACACTTTGTATTCCCGGTGAGCAAGCGTGGGAACTCTCCCAAAAACTGATGTACATTAGGGCTCACAAGAAAACTCATTGGAGCCAAAGGAAATGCTCTGGGCAATTCTAATAGTGACAGCCCAGTGAAAGGTGTTATATCAAAATGTTTTCTTCCTCAGATCTTTTATAAGCTTTTTGAATGAACATGGCTCTTGAAGCCAGCTTCTCTTTGCTCGTATCAACTGAGGCTGTCCTCTTGTTGCTGTGGGTAATAATTGCTCTAGTTACTGTCCACAAAGGATCATCATTTTGAAGGACAGTCCTGATTTCTGGTGACAACGAGTGATGGGGAGCTGCTTGCTTGATCTCCCATGGCTGATGAGTGCATCCCGAAGAAAGCAGCCCAAACTGGAACCCATTGTGTCTTCGAAATCTGATCACCCCCTTGAACTGTAGCTGAATGTCCCGTAAAGGTTACAGATCTCCCATCTGCCTCTGTTTAGGATTTATCTTGGCTGGAAGAACAGACGACAGGGTAATTGCGCTGGCTGAGATGCCAGACTCCCACATCAGCCTGCTGCCTTGCTCACCACCAAGCTGAACTGACCCAAAGCCGCCTTTGCGCTATATCCAGCCCAGATAGGTGGCCGGCTGTCATCACCCGTGGATGCAATCGCACCTTTTCCCCTCGTGTGAATGAGCTGTAACTTAAAGCAGAAGTGAAAACTATGCCATGGGAGTTAAGGGTGTGGTTGTGCGTTTTTTTTTTTTCTTTTTTCCCCCCTACAAACTGGGAGTCACAGATCCAGAGCAAATGTCACGTTACGTGCCTCTCTGAGCACAGTCAGCTGGGTAACTGGGCAAAGAAAACCCAGATATAGCTGAAACCGAGACAACAATGAGTAAATGCTGTCAGGGAAAGGTTGTTCTGGTTTTAAGAGTACAGCCAGGGTTAAGAGCTCAGTTCTCCCAGCTGTGGATAAACAAGAGCTGGCCGTGCTGTTCTCTGATGCTGTTTTCACATTAATATCTAGCTATTAGCACTTCCTGGATGTGATCACATTCTTTGAAGCCGTTCTCCTTTTCCAGCAAGTTCAGAAGATAATTTTAGCTCTGGTTAGTGCTATAATTAAATAACCGAGTCTTCAGCTGAAGCAGCAGATGCCACCTTTGCCAATGCTTTTTCCACTGCTTATCTTGGGACACCGCTCCCAAGGACATGCATGCTTGTGAGGGCACCACGGAGTTGTCCCTGCTGAGCATCTTCTGGAGTCCAGCCTTGGTGCCTAGGGACATGACATGGCTTGTGTGAGTCACACTTTCAGCTGTGCTAAAAGGTTCTCCAGGGAAGATGGGTTGTTAGAAGTAGGGTTAGGGTGGTTGCGCACTGGGACAGGTTCCCCAGGGCAGTGGTCATGGCGCTGAGCCTGCCCAAGTTCAAGAAGTGTTTGGACAATGCTCTGAGACATAGGGCCTGATTTTTTGGTGGTGCTGTGTGGAGCCTGGGGTCGGACTTGATGATCCTTGAGGGTCCCTTCCAGCTTGGGATATTCTGTGATCCCATGATTCTGAGAAGATGCAGTTTACATCAACATCCATGGCTTGTCATCTGGGCCACCCTGACTTCCCTGACTTTCTTATTGGGAAAGCATAAACCTAACTAGTTCAACAAGCCTATTCTCAGCCAGTGCAGCCTGTGAGGAGTTTCCTTTTTGTGGGACCAGCAGGAGAGATTCAGGTGTGAAGAATCAGGGGTGGATGGTGCAGGCGAGTACGTCACCAACACGCAGGCGGACGCTGCTCTCCTCGTGGGGAGATGCTCCAGGATTGGGATGCTCTGCCTGGGGAGTGCTCTGGTATCACCCAGGCTCTGGGTTACACTGCGGGCATAAGCTGTAGTAAATGCAGCAGCCACAGCATCCCCAGCAGCTGAGCCTTTATGGAGAGGGGAGTGGAGGAGTGGGGAACATTGTTTTGACGTTTTAATGGAGTGAGGATGAAATGTTTGGTTTATGACAGGGAGGGCGGTAGTGATTTCAGGCACTGCTGTTGCCTCCACTCTTGCAAGCTGTTTGGAAGAAAGCCTTAGCACGGGCCTCCACATAGCACTGAAGGAAAAAAATAACAACTTCCTAAGCCAATATTTTGGGGGAGAAAAGGCCATTTAATGAGGGGAGTGGGGAACACCACTGCTTGGTGCTATGCTGGCTTTGAGCAACAAGTCTCTCACTGGGTTTTAGAGGAATAGTTTAAAATGTGCCATATTTTTTAGCACAACAAGATGCACTGCAGATATGTCACATCCATTTCACTCCCCACAGCTGTTTACAAAAGAAAAATAAATAAATAAACCCCCTGGGACTGGAGCAGCTGCAGTCACTCAGCTGTCAATATGGGACAAGCCTCTTTCTGCTCCTCTTTTATTTCCACTTCACTCTGTTCTGCTGCACACATTTGGCTCTTCTGTGAATTTTCAGATTATGAGTTTTTTTTTTTTTTCCCCAACTGCCTTTGATCTATACAGAAAGACTCACCCAGATCCCATTTGAATTCATTAATACATTGAGTAGGCATTTTAATTTTATGTTTACTGGCTTGTTTCCCTTTGTAATGTTATCTAACTGACAAGTTCTCCGTACTCTGCCTTACGTTTATTTTTTTTTTTCAGGTCTAAAATGTTTCCTCTTTCCTGAAAAGCTGTGATAATTTTTAGAAAAGTTATAAAGGTGTTTTCATTTCCACAGAAGAGAAACTGAATTACTCTCAGCTTTGATTACTAACAAATCAATACTGAAGCACGTAATTCTTTTTACACCACAAACAAAGTACATTTTATACCATCATCTGTAGCTTGAATTGTAGTTTAGAAGCTTGCTTAGGCACTAAAAGCAGCATTTTGTTTGCAACTTCCATGCCAGTGAAGTCACAGCATTAAAGGAATATCCTGGACTGGAGTTTTTCCCACACTTTCAGCTGTTTTGCAAAGACCTGCTGTGTTTTTCCCCAACAACTGTGAATTTAGCACAATGTACAGAATTCTAGCAAGAACCCTGGTTGCTTAAGTGTCCTAAACACATGGCCAAAAGGATGAGGAGCGGACATGTTTTGTGATGATCAAGCACAACTGTTTCAGTGGAGAAAATGCCCTACATTTGGTCAGACCATTTATCTCGAGTTGCTGGGATAGTGCTGTCTTTGGAAAGGGTGTAGGTGTTAGCAAATCGCCAAACTGTGAACCCTGTGAACCATAGACTGTCAGAAGCATTGGACCTGTTTTTTTTTTTTTTTTTTTTTTTTTTTTTTTTTTTTTTTTTCTAAGTTCCTGTTGTCAAGTGTGGTACAGTGGGGTTGTGAAAGGAATGTATTTTGGATGACCAGGATGATGAATGTATGATGCTTCATGTTTATTTGTAATGTCCTTTTTATACTTAGAACTTGCTTACATATGTATCTGTATGTAAATAAATGTTTAATCCTTTCCAGCTGGCGTTTAAAGCATCTGATTTGCTTGATTGTGAGGTTTGAGTTTTGTTTCAATTTGATCTGCAAAGCAAAGTTGCCTTTAACATCAGACAAACTGATTCCTTTAGGAGGATGTGATTTAATTCGGACTTACAGCTGGATGGCTGCTGAGGACTTTCTGCTTGGGTTCAGGGTAGCAAGAGCAGAGGCAGAGCTGTTGTCCATGGGAGCACTGTCCATTTGCACTAGAGCAAAAGAAAAAAAAAATCACAACCAGAGACTTCATAGCCATGTTGGAAATGCCAAAGAAATGCAAATTGCAGTCAGCAGAGGGTGGTATTTCACAGAGGGAACATCCTGGAGCATCCTCACTCCAGGGTACTGAAACCTGTAGCTGGTTAAACTCTTGTCCTAGCAGGATGCTAGGGCTGTGTGGATGAAGGTGATGTTTGGATGATGCTTGAGTTGGTTCATATTCTTTGCCCTACTGTCTTTTTTTGTCTTTTTTTTTTTTTTTTTTTTTTTTGATTCTAGTTCTCTTCAGCATTCAAGATGCTCTTCATGCCCACAGCAGACAGCTTCTTCTGCTGGACTTCCCTAATGATCTGCCTTTCTCTGGGGTTGGGATCCAAACAGGAGATCTCCCATTTTAAGCCTTTTGGTCCATATATAAAGTTTGTGCTCTGACATCCTGGAGATCAGATTTCCTCCCTTCTGCTAACACTTACGGTGAGAAATGAGCTGTGAAGCTTGAAGACACCATGTGTCTTTTATTGCCTCTTCCACCGACCTTGAAAGTCTTTCCTCAGTAAATGTCTGCCATGAGGGCCGGACCATCTGTTCTGCGTTTCCCCAGGAAGCTGGCACTCTGAGTCAGCACTAAAACAGGAAAAGGTATTTGCAGAGGGAAAGGTCCCTGCGTGCTTCTAAGCAGGAACTGGGCAAAGGGAGGGGAAGAAAACATCCTTGAAGCTCAGACAGTTTGGGAACCAAGCATTTACTGAAAGAGGTGAGGGCTGGAGTGTGCTCCCTGTGGGGAAGACGGCTGGAGAAGCCCGGCCAGCTTCCTCCTGGGGAGAGTAAGAGATGAGCTGGGGTACGGAGAAAGTCTGCGTGTGCAGGATGTGTGACTGGCCCAGCCCAGGACTGCAGGGACATACGTGCTGCTCCATGGGCTGGAGGGGCTGCTCCTCCTTGCAAGAACCACACAACCTCTGGGATGTGCAACCTTCTCCTTGATAAGTAGAACAGAACAGAATAGATTAGACTGGAAGGTGTAGCAGCAAGGTCACGCTACAGAAGGAAGCTTGTGCCAGGCTTTGCTACATGTAGATGGGGCTGGAAACACTGCAGGAGCACAAAGGCTCCCAACAAAAAGGGAACAACCTGCACAGGGGGAGAAATGCAAGCCCCACAGGCTGCAAGAGTGGAAACAACACAACTTGCTGCCTGCCTTCATCCTCTCGTGTACAAATCCTTCCTCTAGAGCACCTGGGGAACTCTGCCCAGGTGTCAGCTCACTGACCAGCATTTGTCACACACCAGTACTTTTTGGTCTTACTGGTGCAGTCCTCTTGCATAAAACAGGACTGCCCTGCGTGAATGTCAATACTATCTTACAGACAGTCCCCTCTAATTTAAAATCTAATCTCCATTTATGTCTTTCTAAGGTTAGGGAATCAACCACAAAGTTGGTGTTTTTTTTTTTTTTTTTTTTTTTTTTTTCCAGGTGTTCTGTTAATTACCTTCAGTGTTAAATATGCTGTTTTATTTTATTTTATTTTTTTTTAATTATTTCCCCCCCCCCCCCATAATTGCATCATATCAGCTTGTATGAAACTACTTCTAAGTGTAGTACAGGGATAAATTTGCCACTGAATAAAAGCACTTACTTTGGATGAAACGCTTCATTCGTGTCAAGGCATGGTCAGGTATACAATGTAGAAGTTCTGGCAGTGTTTTAGTGCTAGATGCATCAGGTCTGGCATATCACTCAGATGAGATCAAACCCCCACGATAGGGTTTTTGTCCAGCTGGGTGTTTGTCCAGCTCATCACAAGGGAGTGCTTTAAGAGCCAGTGGCACCAGTCTCATCTTATGTGGGAGACTGTAGTTTTAATTAATCATGTGCTTTATTGGTTAGGGCACCAATCTCTTAAAAAACCTTTCAACAGATCCTTCCTGTACTCAGTGATGTCAATGTGCGTAATGCTGTCTTTCCCTTTATTTCTTCCACAGAAGACATAAATTCAGATTTACCATCTCCAAGTAGGCTGCATTTCTTACTCCCTTTCCACTTCCCCTTAACAGACTCATTGTATAGGATTTTATTTGAACATCAGTAAACGCAGGCACACACAGACCTAGGCTGGCTCACCCTACAGCCCTGCACTGTCCTGGAGCAACCACAGAGCAGTTCTGGGGCTCTGACTTGCTGCAAAGTGCAGGCCTGCAGCTCAGCTGGGCAACTCACCACCAGCATATAACAACTATCTGTCCTCTTCTGGTACTGGCATGGCGCTTCAGACGGGTCAGGAAGTCCTGCGCAGGGGTCTGTGTGTCAGAGCATGTCACTGCTGCAATCTGCCACAGTGGTTTAGGTTGGCATCACTGGCACAGCACTTAACAAGTGACCCCACTCACAGGTACGATGTTCGTCATTATTTTAGTCATCTCATCTAACTACCTTTAATTCTGCCTTCCCCCCCCTCCCCACATCATATTCATCATTTTCATCAATAACTGGATGTTTCTTTTCTTCCATTTATGCTTAGGACCCAGGGACCACAGAGATCTGGGCTTTGGCTACCCAGCCCAGCCTAGCCTCTTGCACTGCCACCTACTGTTGCAGCAGCCTCAAACACCAGGAAGAAATTCTGGGCTGTGCTCGAGTATCTCGGACAGCAAGGAGAAAAAATGGTTTGCTGCCTAGGGTCTTTCAGTTATATCCAGAACTAGGCTTCAGGCTTTCTTAATACTGGACAAATCCGAACCTGTGCCTCAATTTCCTGAACTGTAAGGCGGGGGGAAAGGACAAATAGGGAAATGGACAACAACAACAGGAAGAAAACAACCACCAACAGCTATGGAAGAACTTTTTTGTAGCCTATTTACCTATGCAGACTCACTGTGTAGCCATGAGAAACTGTTGTCTCCACACAGCCTGCAGGACTGCTGCAGTCTCAGCACGCCTGTGCTCTTGGGGCGCAGCTCACCAATATCCTGCTCGACTGCAGAAGCTGTGTGTTCGATCTCAGATCGATCCCCAGAGTCATCCAGTAAGAACCTGGAAGGGACACGGACTCAGGGGCTCTTCTAGCGAGGAAGAGACAATAGTGAACCAGAGAATACTTCACCTATTTGTACGTGAAAAAGTGAGATTATTAAACACTCACACATTTACATAAGTGTTTATTGCATGTTTTAATTTACAGTAAAATAAACTAACAGCAGAATTCTCTTTTCCCCATCTCTATGGTACAAAGTTCTGAAAATAATCTTAGGAAGACATATGCCTAAAAGTGTATAAAAATGGTTTTTAAACATCTCTTTTCTTTATATGAGTCATTCTAAAAAAAAAATCTTAAAAATAATTTAAAATAACACAGCATAAAATAATCATTTTTTACTGTTTTGGCTTACAGAAAAAGGGGCTCTGTGCTTGGAAGAACAACTCAGGAGACCAGCCTGTTGCCCCTTCCAATATAACCCCTGAATAATTTGCACGTGAGAGATGATTCTTTCCTTCTGAAGAGGAACAAGTTTCCAGGATTGAATCATTTAAAAACAAGGCCTTGGTGGTACCTGCAGACACAGGAGTTGCTAGAATCCCAGCTGTATTCTCAGAGTTTAACCCCTCACTTCTGAAGCATGCATCTTTTTCACTGTTCTCTTTGCTTCCAGAAATTGGGATCCACTCTTCAAAGTCGGCAGGCAACTGGCTGTTTTGGAACAGCTGTGAAACAGAGCTATTACTTTCTTTTTCTTCCCCGTTACACAGCTTCTGACGTTTCACTAACTTGCCAGTAAGCTGCTGTAACAGAGTGTTTTGAAAGGAAGACCTTGATCGCTTGCATTTGGAATGGACTTTAACAGGATTTTTAGGGGTGAATAAAGTGACAAGAGAGCTTTGTTCCCCCAAAGGCCACAGTTTTTGGACAGGTTTTGCCACAGGAGTTGACTCAGAATAAGGAACAAAGTCTTGAGCACTAACTGAATTGCATTCTGAATCATAAAAGGAGTACGCTACTGGTGTACTGTGCTTACGAAAAGCAAGAGGGGACCTATGTAGGGAAGGGGTCTGTTTTAAACTGTTACAGTGAACATCCAAAGGAAAAAGCCCCAGTTCAGGAGTTGTGACCTTTCCTGTCAACCTACCTTCCTGTATCAAAGAGTTACATGACTTATTTAAGAACTCTACAGTTTTTGCTACCTCACTTGTATCAAAGAGATCAGCAGAAGCATTGTAGCTGCCTTCAGGGCAGCTACTGTTCTGTATCATCTCTCTCTTATTTATACTTTTGAAAGCATTTTCTTGCAGTTCTGTCGATGTTTTTAATTCTCTTTCATACATCCTCCTTGTGTTGTTGGGAGTTGCTGGATCAGAGTCCCGTATCCCTGTGAATGTAAGATCTTTTCTTTGGTTTGCTTCATAAGAAGAATTTTCTTTATTTCCACTACCAGCTAAACAGCTATCACGCACAGACTGCATGCAGGTAGCCCTCCTTGCTTCTTTGTAAACAGAAGCTTTCTTCACGTTCAGCAGCACGCTGCAGATTGATAAAAGGACAAGCTGACTTTGAAACTTCAGTATCTGCTTCTTTGGGCTGTCTGTTTCTTTTGGAAGCAGAATACTCTGATGTAACCAGTAAGGACTGTGATGGAGTAAGTAGATGAGAGCTAGGTATAACGCAAGATGCCCCCCGTTCCTTGTCAGCTGAAGATGAAATGCTACAGAAAGACTCATGTTGTGACACCTCATCACTCACAGAATTTGGATTTGACTGCTGCCAAGCAAATG